GTGTGTGTGTGTGTGTGTGTGTGTGTGTGTGTGTGCACATGTTCATGCAGGTGTACTTGTGTATATGGCAGGACAGGGCACAGCCTCTGGAATATTCACCATGTACTATCAGCCTTTTTTGAGACAGGGTCTCTCACTGGCCTGTTGGTTGCCAGTAGTCTTAGTTGGCTGACCAGTGAGCAAACCCCAGGAATCTTCCTCGTTTCACAGTATTGGGATCACAAGTGTCACCCACCATATCCAGAGTTTTTGTAGGGTCCTGGGGATTGAACTCAGTTCCTCATGCTTCCAAAGTAAACATGTTACAGACCAGAGCTTCCAGTTCTCTCTGTTGTAAGTGCTAAAATGATCTCTCTGGGCTTTTTTTTTAAAAGCTGAATCCCAAATAATAAAGTTACTATCATTACTAGAGGTAGTGCTAAAATCAGGTCTTTAAGATAAAGTTTTGGACTGGTGGCTCACCTGTTTGAGTGGGTAGTGATGGTGTTTTTACAAATGGAAGAGGAAATTTTTATGTGATCTCAGTTGCATCATGGTTGCCCAAATCCTTACTGTCTCCTGAGTTTTAAGTACTGGCTGGGGCTCTGCTGTCTGGAGAGGTAGTTTTTGCTCCATCCTCGGAGTCCTCTGGTGTTCTGACCTGACAGTGAGGTGGGGCTGTGGGAAGCTGGAATGTCCAGAGCCTTGAACTTGTCCAAAGCCCAGCTCTCTTATCCTTTCGTTTCATAAAACATATTTCAAAGCTTGTTTACATAGCGTTCGGCATGTGAGGAAGTCTGAAGGTGGGGCAGTTCCATGTTTGGTTACCTGGGGAAGGTTGATATTGGGCAACCGTTAACCAAAGTCCACGTGAAGGTATCTGAACACACGAGGAAGCAGTAAACAAGGCCCTGGGCCCAGAGAGGACAGAGGTAAGTCTCTGTTGATTTTGAAGGAGGTGCCTTGCTAGTTAGGGATTGTTGTGTTCCTAGGGAGTATACTGTGCTCTTGGGATTCCCCACAGAGAGAGGGTACGTAGGGCCCCCAAAGTGTGCCTGTCATAACCCTCAGAGTCAGAAGCAGGACCACACCTAAAATTGCAGCCAGAAGAGAAAGCCACTGAGGGAAAGGAGAGGAGAGAGTCTGCAATTCACTCTCTGGGCCCTGGGCAAAGGAGGGATCAAGCCCCACTTTCTTCCTCTGGCCCTAGGGGTGGTAGCCACAGGGGAACCATGAGAAAACATCTGTGGTAGAACCAGCTTAGCTTATTCCTCACAAGGAGACTGTGACTTACCTCTACCCAGTTCCAACTCAGTTGAGGCTCTCTGGGGATTGTAGGCAGTAAGTGCCGGGGGCGTGTCTCAGTCGTCCTGTGGCCAGCCTTCGTAATCTACAGCTTCTTATGTAGGGTCCATTGTTCTGCTGTTGGGTTTTGTTCTTTCCTACTGCCTTGGTGTACAGCAGAGGAAGAGGTCTGAGGCCCTTAGGGACTTTCAGTAGGGCTCTGATGCAGGTGACAGAGAACAGACACACGGATTCAGTTCTAAGGACACATGTGTCTGGTGACTTCAGTGGATTTTGGTGTCAGCACTTGGGTTCAGATGACTTGGTTTTGACCTCCCCAGATGTGATGTTGGACAACACAGGAAAAGACCGTGTCTTAGTCTTTCCTATTTCAGACTTGGGAATGTAACGGTGCCTACTTTTTAGGTTGTTGTGAGAATTAAATGAGCTGCTTCATGCCAGATGTTTGGACTATGTCCTTATGTTCAGTGTTATTGTTAGATTTGGCTAGTAGGGTGGTGTGTATTTAGCTACATCTGCGTCTGGAGTTTAGCATGTTTATACTGGTGTTCCCTAGTCTAGGGAACACTCAGGAGGTGTGTGTGCCTTGTCTGGGTTTGTACCTACTCAGTTTCTTACAACAGTATCACTGAGGTAGAGCTCACATTCTGATCTATACCCTATGAGAAAGTGAGAAACACTGCAATTCTGATCCACTGGTTAGCATCAGAATCATAAGACAATTACTGAACATGCCAGCCTAAAGCTAGGATTTCTTTAATACCTCCTTTCCTACAGTAAGAATGGCATTTTGTTATTTGACGTACAATTATAGTCCCAAAAGAAATATTAATTATACAGAGGTACTAGCTCAGTATGTTTATACTGTAACCATTCCATTATTCCATTATCCCAGTATCCACAATATTCCATGAATGTGACCTATGCTTCTTTCATGAAGATATTCAATAATCCTGAGTGGACAGAACATGATAAAATAACGACATCTTATTCCTGACTGTTCACAGAGGGCTAAGTAAAACTGTTGTAAATTCGAGACAGGGTTTCTCTGTGTAGCTTTGCGCCTTTCCTGGATCTCGCTCTGTAGACCAGGCTGGCCTCGAACTCACAGAGATCCGCCTGCCTCTGCCTCTCGAGTGCTGAAATTAAAGGCGTGCG